AGCTCATTCAATATTCAGGACGATCGAGGCACGCGTGGGCTTTTTAAACCGTTAAAAAAAATTTCCAAAATCGTATACGGCCAGCCGGTTCTCACTTTTGCAGTGCGAACTGTAGTGAGTGTTTGAACGAACATACTAGAGTTAAGCTACAACATAATAAAGAAATTATTTTGTTTATTCAGTTTTATTCAATGGTCTTATCGATGTGTAATCTTTAAAAGCGCCGGTTTGATACCCGCGGCACTGTGAGTACTCCTGCAAGCGATGTTCACTGAACAACTGAAAACAAACGGCACGGCGATTAAAATTACAAGAGAGACTACCAACAATCAATAAAAGAAATATAATTCGGTGAAACATATACAGAGACAACATTTTTCATTGACGAAGACAAGTATTAAAGTGTCTCTAAAAATCCTGAGTCTTCAAGCTTAAAGCTTAAGTTTATGTTTTAAGCCGGCTTCCCGGTATTCACTTTTTTCAAAGATGAACTCGAGGCAAGAAAATCGCTCAAAGCTTTCTTTTACAGCCAGAATTATAACTAAATGTTTTTTTCGAACGTTTTCTTCCTATTTGCGGTGAGAAAATGTCTAAAGGCTTTTTAAAGTTCTATAAGCTTATATGGAACCTGATTCTTGGTCATATCAAATTGTCTCAAATCTTACAAACGTGCATAAACTACATAGCCGCATAAACTGCGCTCGACCTCATTAAATTAGATATAAAAAACAAACATCAAACACAATAATTACCGAGGCTTACCATTCGAGATGCAGCTCCTAAGAGGTATCAAGGAAGGCCAGTTTCCCTTCAGACTTTTCAACCCTTAGGCATCAAGCAAGGTGAAAAGCAAAATCGATGCCATCCGAAATCGGATTTCCGACTTTGACAAGTAATGTATTAATTTCTCAACCAAAAACCAACTAGCCATGAATAACAGAAGACTCCTGATGGCAGCTGAATTTCATTTTATGCATCCAGTGGAAAAAGACAGTTAAAAACATCACAAGTTGACACAAAACTCTGTCAGCTTCAGCTGTCAAAGTAAACAAGATTCAAGATACTGTATCAATTTTCCGCATGAGCTCACCTGTCAAATTTTGACCAATCAGAGCGTAAAAATTGGAAGTAGAGCGTGACCAACGCATGACCACGGTGAGCAAAGTCAAAAGCAACTGCCTTCCCCGCCTGTAATAGCTGGCTGAATTTTCGCGTCCGAGATTAGTTTTAAATCAAAATTTTAATTGTGCGGCACAAAAACAAAACATATTGCATATGAATTAAAAAACGATCAAACTTGAGCCTGCGATCATTTGAAAACTAGTAACTTGTCAGCGGATAACTTCAAAAAAATACTCGACCTCGATGGGTCAACACCTGAGCCCGCGATACGGTCAAGTGATACCGGTCAGCGGATACCCTGTTTTGACAGCTGTCAATTGATCACAACATTGATGTCCAATGGATGTGTGCATTATCAGTTTTCCTGAGCTCTCAAATTAGCTAGAAAGTATAAGATTGAACAATGATTGCGAGCTAGTAAAAAAACTGGTCAGCGGACAGCTTGCAAATAAATCACGTCACCTTGATGAGTTGACACATGAGCCCCCGATATGACAATGTGATACTGGTCAGTGGCTATCCTGTTTTGACAGCTGTCAATTGACCATATTGTGAATGGCCAATATAAGAGATATTTTGGTTTGCCAATACACACCTGAGACACCCCTCCCTTCCTTTTGATAGTCTCCCCTACCCTACCCGTACAATCTGTAGACGCGTACGTACGTACGTACGTACGTACGCTCGGTCAGTCACGTGACAACCAAACGAAAAGAGGTTGACCATATTCTATGAGTATGGGGCTCTGTCCCACGCGCGCCTCGCGCGCGAGGGAGCCCCGCTATAAAATAATGTCCTTGTCATTTGGGTGGCGAACAAGGCTTTTTGTTCGTAAAAATTGGTTCTTGAAAAGGGGAACAGCGAATGAGACTACAATCCTTCAAGTTCGTATTCTTACGGAAAAAGTATTAATTAAAAATAGGAATTGTTGTAGGGGACTTTTTACCCTGCTTCAGACCTTTCAGAGGTGTTCTACTCTGTTATGCCTTAAGTTAATCTATGTTTAATGTATAGCTTTAGGTAGAGCGAAAGGCAAAACCTCCGTTAACTTGGAACTATTGCTAAAGAAATCGAGAAAACTGCACTTACCTTAAATTGGGGGAACTGACCATATGACGTTTAAGGGAGGGGCTCAATAGACGAGAAACAATTGCTGCTAAGAACATTGAATTTGAGCCTGCGATCAATTAAAAGCAAATAACTGATCAGCGGAAAATAATAATAAAATACTTGACCTCGAGTTGAAACCTGAGTCTGCGATAAGGCCATGCAATACTGGTCAGCTGATTCCCTTTTGCTTACGGTTGTCAATTAACCAAACATCGATGTCTATCATCAAGTTAAACACAAGTTGCAGGCTCCCACACGAACCACAAAATGTTATTTCACATTGGTTACCCTGTGGTGCGGTCTTACTGACGGACGGACAGACATAAGTACGGTCACGTGACTACCAAAATTTCACTGATGTGAATGGATACCTGAATAAACCAATTTCGATATATTAAAATTCACACTTGGTTCCGAGGCTTGACCGAATAAAAGAAAAGAAGTGTATCATTCATGAGCCTTAAGACTCTTTGCCAAGTCTGAGAGCGGGAGTCTCGCTATAATGTCTCCCTTTTGATTGATTTTTCCTGTCTCTTTTTAAGATTTTGGCCTATTCAGAGTGGAAAAGGAAACAGATTGGAAATGTTAAGAATGAAAAAAATATTGTTTGCAGTCATTTTCATCGCAATATGGCAAGGCAAGTGATTTTTTCCTTACGACATACATAGTAATTTCTGTCATCTTCCTACATTGAGACAGACTGATGCTCGTGGCACTTTAGCTGTACCCTGTTTTGGCCGTTAAGTTGAGGTCGCATTAATGTTATAACTGGTGCCAAATTTAAGGGTCCAAAATTAAAGTAATAAGGAACTGGTGCCTGGTGTAATAAGGGTCAAAATAATGTATTAAGGTTTACAAATTCTATGGGGATAGATCACAAACGTAATAAGCGATTACTTTTGTGCTACATGTAAGAAATTGGTCCCAAATTGACAATGTAAGCAAATGTTATAAGGGGTGGGTCAATAATTAGTTTTACAATCCCAGCAAGGGGTAGTCTAAACATCGCTCTGGTTACTCGCGGCTAAAAGGTCAAAATTTTTACCCGTCCCTCCCCCCTTCGGTTGGTGTTTTAGGTTGCCCTCACCTTTACTGGTAGCTTGTGAACAGGCCTTTTTTCCCCAAACAGAGAGCCTGTTCACAGGCTACTTTACTGGAAAAAAAAAATCTCGAAAATATTAGATAACACAAATGGAAAGAATATTATTGTTATTTTAATAAAAGCGGCGTTCAAAAGAAAGAAAAAGCATGCTGAGACAATAGCTTTTATCAATTTGACCAAAAAAGAGGACTATCACTTCTTGTGGTAACTGGTATGAAAGTTAAAGAATACCGAAAACAGTCTGCACACAAGCCCGGAAAAAACCTGTTGAGAGAAATCGCGAAAATGCCTATTTGTTCCGGTCATCCTAGCTAAAACTGAAACCTCCGCCAAATGAATGCTCGATTTCGCCCCTCCCCTTATCCAAAGTTGTTTAGGATAGCATGGCAACTATACACATTGGTTTACAGGCCAAGACAACTTTGAATAGAGGGTGGGGAGGGGGATATTTTGTTCTGTTTAGAGGAGACGGGATTGGGGAGTAAAAGTTAGAAAATAGATAGAATTGTCTCAACAGTTTTGTCCGGGGTTGTAGCTGTTATTCAAGGCTTCGAATTCGGATACTACTAATACACCGAAAAAAGGAAAATAAAATTTAAACCAATAAACAACGACAAAAACAACAATATTTTTTATTCATCTTTCTACAAAACTCCTATAAGCAATATAAGTAATCATAAACAAAATTTATGATTACTTATATCATGGACGGCTCATGGAATCTGTCTCACTAGTGAATCCTGAGGAAAGGTAAAGCGATCTGAATCCAGACTAATCAACCTTTGATTAAAAGATCTTTAAATATAATCAAATATAATTTGACAAAAATTTTCAACTATAAAAAGAAAAAAGTGTATGGTCCGCAGACCATTTGCCATTAATTTTGTCTCATGCCGCGAGAATTCGTTTTGATTCGTCACCTAGTTTGCAAAGTTTCACCGAGGTTAGAACAATAGATGCACCTAAATTTCAACCTGTTTTCGTCTAAAAGGAAAGTATGCAATTTATTCGCCGAAACAAGTTCGCTCTGATTTATTTTGCACAGTACTGTATCCTACTCAAGAAACGCGTAAGGGGTATTTCCTTAGGACATTCACCTCTTCACTTGTAGACGCATAACGTGATCTTACGTACAATTCACTTTTTAATCCATCTCCTAAATTGAAACCCTCAACACGCTTTTCACCAACTCTAAATTTTCTTCCTAGCCCTTGTGATATTTGCGACTATTGATACATTTGAGACTCCACTCCCCATTACAAATGCCATTACATTAGGGATCCTTGGCACAATAAGGCCGACGTGAAGACACGTGATTCAAATGCTCTTCAAGCCTAATCTTCTTTCCAAGACCCTACTCAAAAGTTGCCAGGACGGGAATGGCAACTAGTTCTGTGCATGAGCCACAGAAAAGTTTTACCTTTTTTGTATTCTATGATATTGTTTCTTGTAACAATTTCTTTTTAAGGGTAACCTCAATGCAGTTTATACTCTTAATATTCAAAGTTGCAAACTGACTGTTTTGTTTAATTGTCATTTCGAATGATGAATATAACCTCTATAATTTTTGTACTCATTTCCAGATGTGCACGCCAATCCATGCGTCTACAATGTTGGTAGCTCCAATGGGGTCATCAGCTCCAGTTTTACCAAAAACTACTCCAGGTATAATTGCACTTGGATCATTACAGCACCATCTAACCACACCGTCAAATTAAACTTTACTATATTCAACCTCCGCGGTTATGGTGTAAAGACCTACAGGAGCGAGATTGAAGTATATGATGGAAAGAGTAAAAATGATACCTTGCTGGGTATTTTTAGTGGATCAAGACGCCCATTCATCGTACAAACAACTGGTCAATTCATGATGGTAACCTTTAAAAGGTATCATGAAGAGGCATTTTTTAACTTCAAGGGAGTCTACTCTTCAAGCTCAATAAAAGGTGAGCTGTATGTACCAAAAAGAGAGTTCAAAAATGTTCATTGGGGGTGAATTAGGAAAAACCTATTTGATTAGATTAGTTGAACTATATCATATTAATTTATAATCATCAGAAAACTCCCAATAGCAAAGTCTAATTTATTCTATATAGGTAAAGAATGAAGAATGACTTTCCTACGTGACCTTGTTATAGGGCCTCTTGAAAGAGCAAATGACTCCATACATTACTCACAGAAATACCCTATTTATATTTGGTGTCTAGAATATTTCATCACTGTTCTGTGATACCCGTTGACTGCCATAAAAGCTTTTTCTAAAGCAAGATTACTTCCAACGAGCCCACCAAAGTAAAAGGACGACACTTTTCTACGGTTACTGTATAAGTTGCTTAGATCTTTGGGATTAAAACTTACAGTTACAAACCTTTTTAGTGGTAAACAAAGGACAGCTCTCATATTCAAACATGTAAAAACAAGATGCAGGGCAGAAACGTGGCGGATATAAGCAATGCTATGTTTCCGTCAAGTTTATAAAATACGGAAACACGTCATCTCGTCCTGTGAGTGGATCCCTAAAAATGAAAAGCTTACGTCAACATAAAATGCACCGTAAAGCTTAAGTCTCCTAAAGTGGCCATTTAAAACATTAATGTTTTCCGAGTAACGTCAGGTTGGAGACGACGTGTTTCACTCTCAAATTAGACGTTTATTAGTTAATAGGTTGTTTACCAAGTTTCATTCGCAAAAATAACACTTGGAACGTTCCAGAACCTCACAATTAAGCCTCTAGATCAGAGATTTATCGCACGTCCACTAACTTGTCATATATTTTTAACATCGGGGAGATAATTCCTGTAACACAAGCATTAAAAAAGGTTTGTTAACGCGGTTTGTTTTCCCAGAAAAATCTGGGTATAACTCAGAAACAAGAAATTAAAGTTAATGCAAGGATCTGTTTTTTTAACTATGCAAAACTTAAAGCGAGACTTCCAATCTCGCCATTTTCCTAGATAATCGAGACATCGAATGTCAACATCCAGGAATGATCCAAATATAGTTTCGGTTATCAAGGCCTAGACTACGATAATTGATGACCGCTGACAACGGGTCAGCGGTCATCAACAATGATGGCCGCCTCTTTTGAAGCTGCCTAGTTTTGTGTTATTTGCTTCCTTTTTGTGTTTAAATCATTATGTTTTTTCCTGTGTAATTGTTACTTTTGGTGTCTTCCTTTTGAAACATGAGTGCGTCAAAGAAAGGAGGAAGGAAGTATGATGTGTATGACGATAGTTCTGAATCTCGTATGAAGGACTCCCTGGAAACAATTCGGCAGGATGTCGAAACCATAGAGAACAATTATGCAAAATTCAAAGTAGACTCGAAATCTTCCAACAAAAGCTTACTAAACGCTATGATTTGTGTTGAATCATGTGTTCGATATCCGTCGATGTTTTGATAACTTAGAAATAGAGCAGGCTTTTCCCAGCGGCGAAAAAAAGTCACAGGATCGAGGTCCAAAAAGCAAGAGCACTATAAAAACCTTAATAGTTTTGAGTTTTATCGCTTTAAAGAAAGTTGTTTCTTTTTCTCAACTTAAGAACTGTTCTTGTGTCCTTTACCTTACTATTTTCGGGTACTTTTTTATTATTGCCGTGTCTATTTGTACATAATTTTCCGGGAAAGAAAAAAACAGATTCTAATACAAACGTTTACCACGTTCATTAATTTGTTTTATTATTCATTCAAAATATTTCCCGGATTACGATTGGCTAAAAGCACGCGCATAATTCACCACAACCAGCTACTGATGACAAAGTTTAAAAGAATTTTGCGATTAATGAACCGATGACGTCAAAAGTGCAGCTTCCTTGCAGGTTAATGCACCGTTAACTGAGAAGCCCTGGGGACGGAGTTGAGTTGTTTTGGTTGTGAAAACAAAAAAGGCGGACATTTCGCTTGTTTCAAGAGTAAGAACTAGGCGAAATAATAGCTAAAAACATGGCAAGAACAGCAAACAGACAACTCAAAGGGCGACATCTGTTATTTGGAGAATATTTGCATAGCTGAACAACCCTAAACGTGCACTATCGAAGATGAACCTAACATCGATGGAGGTAAGCATGTTTTAGCTATGTTTTTAAACTAGGAATTATTTTGAATAAATAATAAAACAATTTTTGAATTCGGCTTTAGTACCATATGAAGAATTATGGAGATCTCGGAGGGTGTTATCCCTCCTTGATCTCCATAATTCTTCATAAGATACTCAGCCTTATTCATTAATTTGTTGTAGAATATCTGTAAACAGAATGTAAGGGTTGTGAACTCACGCCCCCTGGACGCTTTGCTAGTCTATCGCAGGGTTACCCCAGCAGTTTGTCGCCGGTACCCATTGTTTAAGAGGCACAATTTGGAGTAAATTTCCTTGTCCAAGGAAACAACGGGACGGGTGAGGCTTGACACACAGCCACACACGCCTCCACTGAATTTTTCAAAGCAAGTGCTAAACAGCTTGAAGTATCTCACGCGGTCTCTGTAATGATTATTTCTCGAAGGCAAGACGTAATGGGTTTGCCTATGTTCCTTGTCATTTTGTCTCAAAAGAAAAGATCGCGCTCATTTTATAACGAGAAGCAGAATTTTCCTCGCGATTTAAGACAAGTATTGCTTATTTGTATTTATAGATAAGCCGAAGATAAGGATGCCGTTGTCCGTAGTACGCAGTGTACCAGAGCATTATACCTGGTTCATGCTGGAAGGCACCCCACCCATTCAAGCTTGGTTAGGCAACTCATCTACACCTTTGGAGGGTGGGCCAGTGGTGAAAGGACTTAAATTCACTCAGACGGGAAACTATACAATTCTGGCAAAAAGTGAATCAGGAAATAGCTCCAAAACGGTTGACGTTAACGTTGTGGGTAAGTTTTTTGTCTCAAGTTAACATGTTAATATATCCAACCATATTTCAGTACCAACCTTTGATAATTGTGTTATTTTTTGCTCATATTGAGCGTTCCTCCCGATCGAACGAGTCAACTTTGTTGCTTTTGAACGCACCGATGGTGTATTTATTCAATGTAGTGAAGGCGTTTTCAATATGGTAGTTTTCATTTTTACAGCGTAGGTTAATGAACACATTTGGTTTAGAAATCTACCCTTGCAGTTGCCTCATCCACGTTTCGCTTGTCATCTCTTACCTGAGACTAGATGCATTGATCTCGCAGATTGCAGTCATTTATGTCAGAGTAATGGTTTTATGAATGGTTCCAGTCAAGTAACCAACGATCATGACTGCAGTGGAGGCAATGTTACATATATTTGGAAGTGTATACCAACAACAACTACTAATTTGTAAGTGGATCTCCTAGCTTAAGGACTCGTTAACTGCTGATTTTAATTAAAATGCTCAGTGGCAGTGAATCATGCATCAAAAGAATAAAAACGTTCAAATGTAAACGCCCTAAAAATCGTTTAGCTTTGAAAAAGAGCCTCCTGAGGTTTCTATCAATTAAAATTTAAAAAAATACATTTGGGGTAAAACGGACATCATTATTACTTTCATCATTAAAGAAGTATACCAGTCGATGAGCGTTTTTTCCCTTGAGTTAGTTTACAAGTTTATACGACCTCAATCTGATTTTGAATTACAGAATGTTTGTTGTTATATGATTATTCTTCCCCAAGGGAGCGGCCTATAAATTTGTCGCGCCGTGTATCGCGTGGATCGCACAGCGACGCTCATCGACGCAGAAACTCGAGTTGGAAATATTTCTAGATAGCTCTTGGGTTTCCGCATCCAGTGTGACGTCATGGTGCATTTTCAACACGACTTCAAAATATGTGTACGCTATCACGTTTTATTCATGAAAGGCTGATGTCTTTATTCATCGTCTGTTAAACAATGTTTACTCTCGGTGAATCGCGATCAATTTCTCAGACAACTGAAAGAGAACGGCAAGCACAAGACAACGTTTCATTCAACAAGTGGCTGGGAATCCTCGCTGGGGAAGATTTACCATCGAAACTCCACTGCAGCGAGAACGGGAACTTGAAATCCAGCGCGAGCAACCAAGAAGACGAGCTCGAAATGGCTTTGAAATACTCGCTTAATACAACTCCACCAGCTTCAAATAGTGTGTATGACAGAGAAAACTGCTGTTAGTATATTAATCGCACGGTAAGAATTGTCCAGTGGTAGCAAGGCCCAGTGGTCTGGAAGCTGACTTCACGCACTAGAGGCAATTATAGTGTAGGTTCGAATATCGGCGTGGTTATTTATTTATTGCGTTTTCTTTAAACATTTTTTTTTCTGTTTAGTTTTCTTTTTCGACATATTTTTGCCCTTTGGTTTGTTTCCCCGTATTCTCATTAAGGACTATTTACAGCCTCGCGAGATTTTTGCGACAACGTATTTCTAGTTTAACAAATAATATGAACGCCCATCATTCTAGACCCGCAGAATGTGAATAATCGTGGTTCTCAACTACGGAAACCCGTCGTGTGGCAATTATGCAACCAAAGGATAACCATGATCAACAATAACAATATGACAATGAGGTTGACCATGGTCAATCTGGTTGTAGCTAAGGGCAGTAGAAACCAATGCACTACATCCTTAACACTCTAAAGTGGTCTTCGAAAAAAAAAAACACACTAAAGAAGGTCAAAGCACAAAACATACTATATTACAGTAGGCATTCGGAGGTGAGACCGCTGACCTGAAACTACGAAGCCGTGCTTTTTATAGGCAAGTTTCCACACTGATTCTCTTTAAGGTTTTTAGTCTATCCAAGTTTATTGCAGTCTTGAATTACCCAGCCAATTTAAATGATAGAATATCTGCCAGATATTCCTTTCAATTTGACACAAGGATTGAGCCTGTGTTTGGGTACCTGCGGAAATAGGTTTTTCAGGCGAAATCGTCGCACATCAAGAATTGTTTAACCTTGTAGGGCTACTACAAAGCTCAACGCAACCACAACAACAACAAAATCGAGAACCTAAACAAAACAAAAATTCCGAACGGGCAGCACAATGTTTGGCATGCTTCCTTGCCGTCATTGAAAGACTAATGTTGTCATAAGGGATTGAAATAGCTATGCGATAGCTGCATCTCTAAGATCGTCGCGACTTCGATGTCCATGGAGAGGCTTAGGTTTTTTTCTTATTTTTTAATGCATAAGGGGTCAAAATGTTTTGCTATTTGTTGCACCAGAAAATAGGTCGTGAGCCATCCAAACAACACCGCCAATTTTAACAGTGTAGGTGAAAAAAGTGTGATTCTACATAGTTTATGATTTGGTGGAACCTGGTACATTTACATTATGGGAGTGAGTCAGTTACATATCCTTAATTCGTGAATAAGGATACAACTCATGAATCTGGACTTAAATGTTTAATTTACTCCACAAAAGATCACTGCGTTGCCATTGGCTATTCATCTTTTGCTGCCAATAAACCAAGGTGAAGAGCTGATGGTCACACCCATCGGCGCAACATTGCCAACCTCGGTCGAATGTGGTTGACGATGAAAAACTATGATAATGTTGATAAGAGACAATTCTGTCGTTGTATCATAGGGGTCAGCGGTGTTCCGCGTGGGCCGTATTGTATGTGTAAAACGAAGATGGCTGCATTTGCTTTGAGAATAAAGTGTTGTGTTCTCGAAAGCTGTTGTTCCTTTGATGGAAGCTTTCCCAGCCGGTTAACATGGTGTCAGAAGTAGACGAACACGCGCCTAAAGTCAGGAGGTTTCGTCCATAGTACGGTCAGTTTATGTTTAAGAACGAACTGTGGGAGTTGTACGAATTGTCCCCGCCATTTTTGGATGTTATCAAGCTGGTGCCCGTATAAATTGTTTGTGTTTGCTGTTATCATGGCCAACGCTCCAGTGGGTTTTCCTCTCCCTCAAATGCAAGATGAGCGAGAAGCTCTACACTGTTTCATATTGGATTATATTGATTATTGCACGGTGATGGGATGGTTCGAGCGGAAAGACAGATGTAAATATGACGATCAAAGCGAGGATGGGGAAAAACCAATGGAAGAAACAAAACCTTGGCATGTCAACACTTGGAGCAATTCTGCCTTCGAAGATGAAGAGATTGATTAATCCAAATAACAAAACGCCTGGACTATCCGAGGAAGATAAGAGTGACCCGGCGAAAGTTATTAAAGCCCTCATTAAGCGTTTTGGAGGCAGTGTCAGTGTTCAAGCTGAGCGAACGAAAATGGGACGCATGTTTCAGTCCGAGTCGAGTGGTGGGGCGAGCTAGATATTGTGAATATGGGAATTTTGAAGATCAAGCATGCCGCGACCGTTTTATTGCTGGCTTGGTGGACGAAACTTTACAAGGAAAGTTGACTACTAATGGTCAGCGTGACAAGAATGGTAACATTGTGGAGTTCCGTACTGTGGTTGAAATAGCAAAGAATTATGAATCCTCCACTGACGCTCGAAGGCTTATGAGGCAAGTCCGTGAAGATCAAGAGCACGTTAATTGGACCGAAAAAAGCACCCCATTCAAAGCAAAACAGCACTCGCTCTCAAAGCCAAAGCAATGGCAAAGAGTCGTGTAGAAAACAGTCTGAGTGTTACTACTGTGGGGCGACACCGAGTCACCCAAAGGAAAAGTGTCGTGCATTTCTCCTTAAGTATAAGTGCAGAAAATGTGGCAAAGAAGGGCATATAGCTCGGAAATGTTTGAGCAAACCTCAGGACGTGAATGCGTTGGATGATTCAGTTTCTGATGATGGGCAAGAAACATATCATTTGTTTACTCTGGACACTCACTCTGTGAGATCGGTATCTGTACTTGGAAAACTTTGCAATTAGGTACTGCGTCAACAACCAACACTCTTGCAGTGGAGGACCTCCACTGTGTCCAGCAGGGGTTGATATCCATAGTCTAATCAAACCCTCCTCTGCCATCCTGAGTACCTATGGACGAGGTATAATAAAGCCAGAGGGCAAATAGCATTGGTTTATGAAACTCAAGAAAAGTTTCACACTCTTCAGTTTCAGTTGTTAAATAAGGACGTCATGGGATCAGAGCCACCTCTTCTAAGTGGATCTGATTGTGTTAAATTAGGCCTGGTTGAGATAAGAGAAAACACCTGCTCTTTGGATCGTAACAACCCAAAAGGGGGTGCCTCAGAGTGTACCAGCTTAACTCGGGACCTCTGCGCGGAAGAGTTGAGGAAAGTGGACCTCCTGATCAGGAAGTCAGGCCCACCTTACTGAATGGTAGTGCAACAGAAGAGATTAATCTGACGGAGGAAACTACCAGCACCTCTCCAGTACATGGCACGTGTGAGGATATTAGTGTACTTCATCGTGCTGTAACCAATGAAGAAAAAGTTTGTCCAAGGAGAGCATGGCTAGTGAGGTGGGTGTGTCCCATGTGCCTGTCCCCTGTGGAAAACTGACTAAAGCCATTGTCATGGATGCATTTAAGGATGTCCATACACGGTTAGGAACTTTGGGGCCGCCCCTGCACATCAGCGTGAACCCTAATGTGACTCCAATCCAAGCTCATCCACATCGGTGCCCTGTAGCAAAGGAAGAAAAAGCATCTGACGCAATACGTGACCTTGAAAAACAGGGTATCCTGAAAAAGGTTACTGAGCCGACTGCATGGATCTCCAACAGCGTCTATAAAGAGAAACCCGACGGAAGCATTCTTATGTGTATTGATCCTAGCCAAACGATCAATAAAGCCATTAAAGTCCCAAAGTACCACATTCCTACAGTTGATGAGTTACTGCCTAAGTTGAACAATGCCAAAAATTTATTCCTGTGTGGATGTGTACAAGGGGTTCACAAACATTGAGTTAGATGACAGTTCCTCATTCCTAACGACCATGCATACTCCAATTAGTCGTTACCGTTGGCTGGGTATGCCGTTCGGGGTCAGTTTAGGACCGGAGGAATACCAGCGTAGACAACATGAAGCACTGGAAGGATTGACTGGTGTTGTGAACAAGGGCATTTGGTCTTTGGGAGTGGAGATAGTATGGAGGAGGCTGAGAAGGATCACGATATTAACTTGTGGAACTTAATGTTGCGGTGCCGTGACGTGAATCTCAAGTTAAACCCCAGGAAATTTCAGTTCAAAGTGAAGCAAGTTACCTGGATAGGCCACCTCCTTAGCAGTAATGGCATTAGCCCACATCCAGGTCGAGTCCAGGCTATTAAGGACATGAACCCACCAAAAGATGTGAAAAGGGTTCAGTGGTTCCTAGGCATGTGCAATTATTTGTCACGCTTCACCCTAAACCTTGCAGAAATTGTGAAGCCGCTCACTGAGCTGACACACGTGAATGCAGTGTGGTCATGGTCATCCCAGCATGACAAAGCTTTTAAGAGAGCCAAAAGCTTAATTGCAAATGCCACGACGTTGAAGTTCTTTGATGTGAACAAGCCATGTGTATTACAAGTGGACGCCAGTGACACAGGCCTTGGAGGTGCCCTGCTGCAAGATGGGCAACCTGTGACTTTCACAAGTTCAACGCTGTCAGCAACTGAAGTCAGCTACGCGCCTACTGAAAAGGAATGTCTGGCCATCAAAGTAGCCTGTACAAAGTTCTACCAGTATCTTGGTAAACAAGATGTTATAGTACATTCTGATCACCAGCCGTTAGAAACGATTTTCAAAAAACCCCCTGAGTAGAGCCCTAAGACGCCTTCAACGGATGATGCTTCAGCTTACAGCCGTTCAAGTTCACAGTAGTTTACAAGAAAGGCAAGTACATCTACTTGGCCGATACACTGTCGCGAGCCGCCTTGAACCTCCCTACACCCTCAGACCCACAAGAGGTGTTCCAGTGGAACTCAGCGGATGCACTAGAGATGTCCCGGGTAGAACTAGAGACCATGGAACTAGACTTCTCAGACATATATCCTAGCTCCTTGGAGGAAATTAAAGCTGAAACCTAGGCGGATCCTACCCCGTCAATCCTATGTATGTTCGTGGCCCATGGTTGGCCCTCCGACAAATCACAGGTGCCCACAGCACTCCGTCATTACTATCCGTTAAGGGATGAGCTAGCGGTATACAATGGTGTATTGTACAAGTCACACAAAGTCCTCCTTCCCGTGTAGCTACGGTTTACTATGCTAAAAAAACTCCACCACGGTCACCAGGGCGGTGAAAGCATGATTCGCCGCGCTCGAGAAGTAATGTATTGGCCTGGAATGCAAGCTGCAATCCTTCAAGAGAGTGCCATATGTTCATTGTGTGCTAGCTATGGTTCGGCCCTCCCAAAGGAACCGATGTTGTCGCATGAAATTCCACAAGGTCGATGGAAATTTATCTCGCAGGACCTATTCAAACAGGGTGGGCGTTGGTATTATGTTACAGTAGACCACTACAGTGACTGGTTTGAGGTCCATCTGTTGAATGAAGACATCACTGCTGCCAATGTTATCTCAGTCAAAAAGGCGCACTTTGCCCTTTATGGTATACCAGATATATTTTTGTCCGACAATGGACCTCAGTGCACCTCTCAGGAATTTTAGAATTTTGCCAAGACCGATGGTTTCAAGTTGATTACCCGGTCACCGTATTATGCTAGAGCTACCGGTAAAGCTGAAGCTGCTGTTAAGGAGGCCAAGAAGATGTTAAAAAAATTAGACCTCTCCACTGGTCTCTTGTTCCATAGGAGCACTCCCTCAGGGTCTGACTTACTCCCCGGCACAAAGGTTTCTCTGCCGACGAACAAAGTCTAACTTGCCAATAGCTGAAGCATTGTTGAGCCAATCTGTGCCACCTGTAAGCGTAGTCCGTGACGAGCATCTGGGTAGGCGAGCTAAAGCCAAAGCTCACTATGACAAAACTGCTAGCAGAGACTTACCTCCGCTTACGCCTGGACAGTATGTGTACACCAGGCCAATTGACCATCAACATGGTGAACAGTGGTGTCACGGCGAAGTCTTGGGCGACGTAACACCACTTTCGTATGTGATAAAAACGCAAGACAGGTTGGTTAGACGGAACAGGATCCACTTAAGACCTAATGAGCCTCAGGTCCCTTGTGTCCCACAACCATTGCCAGAACAACCAGTAATAGATAGTGGTGCGGATGTAGGAAATGCTGCGGAAACCATAGTGCCTAACCCACTTCAGAGTCCACGAATGAGAATTCACTTCCATCAGTGCAAATCTCGCGTTATGGCCTTCCAATTAGACGACCAAAGAGACTGGACCTTTAAAACTGGAGACTAGAGGGCAGTATGGTACTTGATGTTGACTATTATCTGACATTACCTGTTCACATTTGTTTGTGTTAATGACTATTATGTTCTTTTTGTTTTGTTTTTTTTCATTTTTCGAAACATATTAAAATGTTAATAGTTTTCTTTGAAAGGGAGGATGTTGATAAGAGACAATTCTGTCGTTGTATCATAGGGGTAAGCGGTGTTCCGCGTGGGCCGTATTGTATGTGTAAAACGAAGATGGTTGCATGTGCTTTGAGAATAAAGTGTTGTGTTCTCGCAAGCTGTTGTTCCTTTGATGGAAGCTTTCTCAGCCAGTCAACAATAACATGCACAACCTGTTACCGTTATATTATTGCGACAGAAGGAAAGACTACTGCTTTTTCGCATAGTCGGCTTGTTGCTATACAAACATTTCGTACCGTAAGGCCCGTACCGTCGCGGCGGGCCGTAAAGCCTTTTTAAAGTCCATAGAACGCCTTCATACTGCGATTTCTTTACAGATTGACAATTTTAATATAATTTGATTTTACTTGAATTTGGATTTTAAAGAATGCCCAGGATGTTTTGTTAAAATATATACTTTTTTCGTTTAAAAACAAAAAATAAACAGTCTACCAGTTAATGTAGGCTATATATATTTCAATTTGCTGTAGGAAATTGTCAAACAGCAGGATCGAGGAAATCCCGCACGGAATTTTCGCAGGCCTCTCTTCATTGCAGATTTTGTAAGTTTATCACATTTGATTTTGTATTTGTAGTCGTTTAGATCCACATTGGCTAAATCTTGTGACAATTAATTGCTGCAGCTTGGACAAATAATCTCCTAAATAGCAATAGCAGCACTCAGTAAAACTGTTCCTTTTTGCCCCATTGTAAAAAATGTGCATTTGCGGCTAAGAAATCAAACATGTACGTTCACCCACACCTGCCAAGGCAAAAAGTGAATTTTCCGAAGCAAGGCCTATTTTTAATGACAAAACTTTGAAAATCACTTACAAATAATTAACCGCGTTGACCAAGGAACTAGTTTGGGATTCAAGACCACAATCGAAACAGCGGCGGAATCCCATTAAAGCCCCTTATTTTTTTTGTTAATTTGTAATTGCTTAATTTGCTATTACAACCGCTGACATCATATCTTGTACTTATACAGTTTACATTATCTTCATTTCATGTTTCAAATAAATCAAAAAATTGACTTGCTGCTAATGTATGGGTTATCATAGCTCAGTTGGTAGAGCACTGCAGCAATTTTGTTAAGGTTTCTGGAGGACGCGCTTTCGTGGAATGCGCCTCTATGAAATGCCGCTGAAATATCTCTTCTTTCTTTAAGACAACGTTTCTGGACTCCAATCAACCTCTCCATGCAGTAATAGATTTCAGTTTAAGATTGCGTATTTTAGTCACTAGGTTTAGGATAAGCCGTCTATGTCCTTTATCCTTCTGAAAATCTTTATCGTCACACTTGAAGTGAATCCATTTTTGATAAAAGGAGGCCCATGACTCAACAGATCAGGATGAATTTTCCAGAAAAAGACTTCAAAATCATTTCTCATCGTCAAGCAAGTCATGTGTGCACCCAATCAGAACATGACTTTCGTTATGTGTCAACCTTTAGATGAAAGCATGGGTATTTTTGGCTTCAATGCTTAGAAAAGCATTCATTAAAAGAGCAAATTTGTCAGCCTGTTTCCCAGTCATATTCTTATTAAAGAGAAAATGACATGTGAACGTGGGGTGATAGTTTTCCCATCTTTAATTATTAATTTACAGTACTTTGTTACAGGGATTTGTCGAACAACGTGGTTAAACAGCTCGTACCAGGAGTATTTGCAGATCTCCCTTCGTTGCAGTCCTTGTAGGTGTCACACCGTTATGAGTAGAACAATGTGAAATGTTACAGTTACCGAGACAATGAAATTGGTGAAACTAAATAAATACGAAGATATCTACTTAAATTAACTACATTACGTAATAATATAGATTTAGCCAAGCCTAAAAGCGGGGCTCCCGATTTCATTACAATAATAATAATGATAATAATGATGATGATGAAGATCATTTTATTCACACTTTTCCCCTCCCTTTCTTTAAAAAAGTGCGAACAGACTGTGCGAAGTCGGACACTGAAATATCGTTGCGAGTTAAAACCTCTTTAGCACACGTTACCCAAACCCATAACAATTAGGCACCCATTCCATATCTAGAGAATCATAAAGCAACTGTAACCGGAACTGGTTTTTTGTTTGTAGAGTTTCTTGGAAATTTTCCATGTCCCATGCAGTATGCAAAACTTCCGCAACGAATTTGGTCCCGCGTTTCAAAACAAATTCGGCCACGTCTGTTTTGCCTTCAAGTCTTTGCTCTTTAGCAAATGCAGGTAACTTGGTATACGATTTCATTTTTTTGGCTACTACAATTCGGCACGTTCATACGAAGACATTCGTTTTTTTATGATTACTATTTATGTTATTTTTCTGCCCTCGACCTTGGCTGGTTTCTTCATTGCAATCTGTAGAGTCATGACGAACCGATTCCGCGCCCTGACGTCCGGTTGAATGTGGTTTATTGGCGAACGATGCCTTCGTAGTTAAAGGGAGCCCATCACTGAGATCCGGGTGTCCAGGACTTTCAACAAACTCCTTGTCTTGCTTGGTCACATATTTCCAGGCACTGAAATAATTTCTGTCAATGCTGAAAAATGAACGGATATGCCAAAGCGTTCTAAAAGAAACTTTTTGCTTGACAGCCTTCCCTTATTTCTGTTTAGTTTTAAGGCCGATTGAAAATAACTTCCACAGGACGCTGGATGTTCTTCCATGCAGCAGGACCAGTGCATGATTTTGTCTGGTCTATCATAAAACGAATACAAAAAAGCCTCTACAAATGACTGTCGTGGTGGAAAGCACCCAACGTCCGCCTGGCTATAAGTAATCAGATAAAGTTTGCGCACACTTCGCACATCTATTTTATCGTTGGGATTAGCTGGTTTACACGAATTGTCCAAATCAGCATATTCCGTACCCTCTGATGACGATGACTCAGATTCATAATCCCTTACGAAATCCATGTCGTAATAACTAACACTGAGCAAGCAAGAAACGTGAGCAAGTGAGTCGTGAGGAAAACAATGTCCTGACACTTGACGTTCTCGTAACATTTCACCCTCCCCCCTCCTTAAAAAAAAACTGGTTTTACCTCTGCCTCAAGACAACTATGGACAAGCGGGATATATATACCCTACCTCTTAAAAACCTCTGACCGATACGGTAATATTGACCGACTTTCCCGATTTATCCCGCTATCATAGGGGGTGTAAAGCCTTTTTTGACTCTCAGAGAATAGGTGACAAAATTAGCTGAGACACTTCCGAAAAAAAATACATCTCATGAGCATGTTTTACTTGTTCTTATCAAAACGGGTGTGAAATACCTTTCAATGGCACACCTTCCCCCTCCCCTATTCAATGTTGTACCACTGGCCACAATGTTTGTGGGCACTTGGAAACGACCCAACAATGTCAAGGGGGGAGGGGGCGGGGGCTCAGGGTACCTCAAAACACCTCTTTTTATGAAAGTGTCAAAACAATTTTGCCGCCGATTGCAGGTAAACACAGCTTACCCGAAGCGAAGTAGACGTCATACACTTCCTTCGAGATGTATAAACTTCAAAGATAAAAAATCTCTAATCTTCGACTTCATATTAAGCTTAAGCTTGTCTCAATTGCGAGCGATCGCTCGCAGACATGTATCATATCAGTAAAAACATCAATACCGCTTCTTCTTCCACTGGGGATTGCACGGGGATCGATTTTGGGTCCATTATTTTTTTGAATTTACATCAATGATTTGCCACTTTCTTTACAAAATTCTGAAACTGATACGTATGCTGACGACACTACCATGAGGCTCTACCATCTGGTCAAGCGGTAACGCGTGTGAAAGTATACAACAGTCATTGCAGGAAAGTCTCCACAATGCAAATTGCTGGTTCAGCTTTAACGGGATGAAGCGCAATGTCAAAAAACAATGCAAAAGTTAACTGGAACTGGTCAAAAGCTTCGTTGTGCAAAACTCTTTGTAATTAGGATCGTCAAATATCTCACTTGAAATCTGCATAGTAATTATATTATTAGCAAGCTGAACTGCAGAATTAGCCTGCTCGAAAAGTGAAATCTGGACTGCGGGAAATTATTGTATAACTCTCTCTCAATTATTGAATACTACTTTACGGTATGGGGCAACTGTTCCAGGAACGCTGCGCCAGAATGATATTAGAATGATATTAGATGCAAATTTTCAGGATAACTCGGGAATGTTATTTACTAAATTAGATTGGCTTCTAATTGACGATATCATTCGTACAAGAAGACTATCTCTTCTCCATAAAATCTGCAATGGCTGTGGTCCAGAATATCTTTCCTCCTATGTTAACTATGTCAAGAGTAGCCATGATTACAACACGAGAACCTCAAGAAGAAATTATCTTATCACGCCTAAGTGCCAAAAAAAATTCAGGCCGGAACATTCCATTCCAGTGCCACTCGTCTGTGGAACAAAACTGAACCATCTCTTAGAGACACGCTTTCACAGAAACCCTTTTTAGGGACCTCCAAAGGAAATAAGGTACATTGTTTAAGGAAAAAAAGGCCAGTGACGCCATCAGAATTATGTAATAATGCTGAAGATAAAAGAAATACTAACACAAGAACACCAATATAGGGCGAAAAATATACCAGTCATCCCTCGTTTCTCGCGACTTCGCCGCTCGCCCATAGCGCTTGCTCGCAGTCTACAGTGTCCAAAGAAAAATAAGAGACTGCTCGCAGTCTCATCTTGATGACGCCTTTTCGGTGATCGCGATCTGGACAGAATTATATAATAAGACGAAACGGTAAGAAATTGGTTGTTTCAATATCATCGAGTATGAAATCTTTCAAATGATTACTAATAAGCTGATTAAAAAGAACGGTACGTTTGTACTGACCTACTCCGATTGTGCACTAAACGTCACTATTCAGATGACCAGGAATGCGAGCTGGAAACATTGTCAAGAATGACAATTAGACCTACCGTCGATGACGATTTCTGTTTTTCTCTGACTTCTTTTTTTCCATTGTTCAAAATCGAATGAAGAAGAAGATTTTAGAAAAGCGACCCAATTATACGAAAATACGGTGGGCGTAAACTGTGAACACAGGACACATTGAACTAAAAGGGGAACCAAAGGTTAAACATCTCAAGTGATTGACATGCAACTTTGCAGGCTGTCAATTTCGTGATATTGGATTGGCTGTAGGAAAAGAACGCTGCTTTGAAGGAGTTTTATTTCGGGGTTTGCCGCTTTGGATTTCACTGGTTTCGCGCGGATTCCAATGTTTACGATGAGCAGAAAAGTTGAAATTGTTTCCTTCGTCACCACTTTTTTGGGATCATTTAGCAGCTACGAGTTGTTTGTTACTCCGAGGCTAGATGGTGCTATTCATAATTCCCGATTTTCTAACTCCGAATATTCATTATTCATTTTCTTGTAAACCCCGTTATTCATTATTCATTATTCAGCTTCCACCCCCGAGTATTAAGATACCCTTCATTTGTTACATCAAGCAAAAGCGGTTACCGTGAAGTGAAGGAAGAGAAAACCAGACGGGCATTTTAATATAAGATGAAGTTCCTATACATAGGCGCAAAGATGATCGCACACGATCCTTTCACATACTTTTAATAAACCAGATAAGACCGAGATTGACCTGTTATTCTGCAGGTCTGTATGGTAATTTACCTTAAATACAGGGTGAAATTTTGGCCGTTTTCCATTTCAAAGGAAAATCCTCAGTATTCGAACTTTTACTGATGATAGCTGACAAAGAAGCGGAAAAGACTGTCATGTCATTTAGGAGATTATATGATTTATTAACAAATATGTCGCGGTGCCAGGCATTTCTGGGCAATAGTGGTTTCCAATGAAATTTTGCAAGAGCATCACTAGAAAATGCGCGTGGAGGAAGAACTAAAATAATACGGGGAGTTTTATTTAGAAGCGCTTGCAAGTCATTCATTAATGTCGAATTTTCTCGGACACACCAGATGATGTCTCCATGATCAAAATATTGTAAAACAAAGCTATTGATAAAGGTAAACGTAGCGCTAAGAGGAAAATAAGCTTTAATCCTTCTCAGAAGACAAAGTTTTTTATTGATCTTATTGCGAATGTGTTTAATGTGATAATTCCATCACAAGTTCTCATTAATTACTATGCCAAGATATGAAAAAAAAAGACTAACTTTATTCTCTGACCAGTTATAACTACTATTATTTGCTTAAAGTAACATTGTGCGTGCATCGCAAGCTGTCAGCTAGCTCCGTTTGTCGAATGAAACACTCCGACGAACGTATGGGATAAATTTGCCACGAGTGTGAGTTTAATTTGTTAACAATAACAATTAAAGACCGTCGTTATCTCGACGGCAAACACTTGAACATGAGACAAAGGTGGGGGTACAAAATCGCAACACAATAGCGTTACTAAAAATAAGTGAACAGGAGGCAGTTGGGGGGGAGGGGGGATTCAAAATCACTGAAGTTGACTCGACGGAGAGAAATTAAAAGGAGAAATGATACTAGTGATGTCCACCTTTTAAAGCAGAGAAATATGATATACACTTCACGTGCCTTAGTTCTGAGAGACGCAAAATCCCGCCTCGTGATCACTGCATGATAAGTAGAATAGATAAACTTGGCATTGCATAAATACCAATTATTCGTACCCCATAATTGTTGCTTTTTTCGAGCAAATTGCCATCAGTAGAAATCGTAGTGGAATCAATAGAGCTTAAGCAACGACGATGGCGACGGAGACGAGA